CATGGCATCGTCCACCGGCGACTGGTGGAAGGGAGTGTGCCCGGCGCTGGCCGGCCCCGAGCTGGCCGGAGACATCATCTCCAGGGTCTTCTCCTCGGAGCTGCCGCAGGCGTCCTCGCCGCCCTCGGGGCCGTGGTTGAGCATCCCGGTGGGCGTCAGGTCGAAGTTGACGCTGCGGTCGCTCTTGGGGGTCTTGGCCAGGGGCGAGGGGGGGCAGACGGCTCTCAAGGGGCTGCTCTCCAGGTAGCGGAAACGCTGGGGGCTGTCGGGGTCCTCCAGGCCGTTGCGGGATGGGGCCCCGGTCCCCGCCCGTCCCCCGGCCCCCCGGTTCTCCAGCGGCGAGGGCTCCAGCTCGCTCTCGGCCGTGGTGATGCCCTCGTCCGTCGATTCCTCCTTCCTCCTCCTCCTCCCGCCAGCCCCCGGTGAGGCGGCCCCCCGGCCCCGCTCGGCCTCCAGCAGCATGTCCTCGGGGGAGGAGGACTTGGAGCCGTCCGACGTCCCCGGCTCCTTCCTGCCGCCTGCCTCCCGGGGGGCTTTGGCCTTGGGCTTCTCCGGCTCCTTCTTGAGGGGGGGTTTCTTGATGCTGCCAGCCTTGGCCAGGGGTTTGCGGGTCTCCGGGACCAGAGTTTTCCGGGCCGGGGTCTTGGCAGGAGCCTTGGCCTCTGCCTTGTTCTCCTTCGCGTCCTTCCGCAGCGTCTCAGCCTTCACCTCCTTCTTCGCCACCTTCACCTCCTTCTTGGCCTCCCCCTTCACCTCAGCCCCCTCATCCTTCTTCAGCGGCTTCTTCTCCTCTTTCCGGGGGACAGGCTCCTTCCTGGGCACCGCCTTCTCCTTGCTCAGCTTTGGCTTTGCGTCTGCCTTCAGCTTCTCCGTCGAAGAGTCCAGCTTGGCTCGAGCATCCTTGGCTTTCTCCTCTTCCAACCCGGCTCTGGCCGTCTCCCCCAGGGATTTTGGCTTCTCCTTGGTCCCTGCCTTCACCTCCTTCCTCTCCACCTTCGGAGCCTTCTCCTTCGGCACCGGTGCCCCAGCGTCCACCAAGCTGAGCTTGGAAGCCGACTTCAGGCTCTCCTTGCTCTCTGCCCTCCTCTGCTTGAGCAGCTTCTCAGGTTGGGATGCCGGCGGCCCCTTCAAATCGTTCTTGGTGACCACAGGATGCTTGAGGAACTCCAGGTGCTTCACCTTCTCCAGCCCCTCCAGGATGCGGCCCTGGGGCGTGCAGCCAGGGAAGAGGACCCGGATGATCTTCTCGGAGGGGCTGACGGGGTGCCAGACGAGCAGGGCGCAGACGGAGGTCAGGCACTGCAGGGGCAAGTCCTGCTCCTTGGGGTAGCTGTTGCCTGACCATTGCTGCAGGAGAAACTCCAGCTCCTTGGTGCCCTTCACGGGGTTCAGGACGTACATGTCCAACCGGCCCACTCCCATCTTCTGGAAAAGGACGGTGGGCTCTGCGCGAGGTCCGCTGTCCCGGGACAGCGGGTTGGGACGGATGCCCAGCTTGTCCAGGTAGTGCAGGGTCAGGGCAGCCTCGTCGCAGCTCTTCAGCACCCGGGAGTTACCCTCGATGTCCTTCAGCTTCTCGGAGGCGTTGAGGAAGACGACACCCAGCTCCGGGGAGATGAGGTTCTTCGCCCAGTCCCCGTTGCCCTGCGAGCTCTGGGACGGATCTTCCTCCAGCTCAGCCAGCTTCCTCTGCAGCAGGCTGTTGACACCGGGCAGGCTGTCTGTGCCTGCGTGCGTCACCAGGATGGAGTCAATGCGGTCCAGGTGCCGGACCAGCTTCCAGAAGGATGACTTGGGGTTGGAGCCTCCGTTGACCAGGACGTTGAAGCCGTTGACGGCAAAAAAAGCCGAATCCCCTCTCCCACCCGGGAAGATATAGCAGCAGGGCTTGGAGAGCTTGAGGAAGCCGACCATGGTGGGGGGCTCGAGGAGGTCAAAGGGGGACTGGGGCTCCAGCGACTCCGAGAGGTACTCCATGAACTCCTCCAGCCCCTCCATCTCTGGCAGGATGCAGCCCGGGTTGTAGCGCAGCTCAATGAAGTCCTGGAGGTTGTGATGGTCCAAGCCCGAGTCCCTCCACTCCCCAAAGTCGGGGCAGCTGACAGTCAGCCTGGCCTTGGCCGAAGGGTCCGCGGAGCTCAGGATCTCCCCTACCTGCGAGGGGACGGGGACAGCCAGAGCTTCAGGTGGGATGGGGCACCCAGGGCCAGAGATGCGGCAGCCCAGGGGGGTGCCCCGCCTCAGCCCCCCCCCTCCCTGGGCAAAGCACAGAGCTCCCCTTCCCCGGGAGCTCCCGCAGCCCCATCCCACTCCCCGTACCCGGTGCCG